AAGGTATCACTATTTTGTGGGTCTTGGATTTTGCTGTACACAGTTCTTAGTGATCCTGTTCCCGCTACTATGGCAATGTCTCTGTCCCTATCATTTAACTAGCGCAAAATGCACTAGGACTCTACTGGCATTGACATTTGTTGCTGGAATGTGCGCTTTGAAATCGTTTCTGACTTATAGTGACCCTGAGGTGACCCTATTGCAGGGTTTTCTGGGGCTGAGGGTATGTGACATGCCCAGGGTCACTCAGTGGCTTTTACTACAGCAAATTTGCTATTACTACTTAAGATTCATTTTCCACTTTTGAAGGAGTTGGTTGGACAGGAGAAAAACAGAGGAGTCAAAGGCTTGGCATACTGACTCCACAGCCCTGAGGGCATGCCAATATCTATACTACTTTTCCAAACTTTTCCAAACTCTGGTATCACTGTATATTGGAGATGGGTGAATCCTCAAAGTGGGAGAAAATGGTGAATCATTAAGATACAAAAGGCAGTACATTTTCTGTCTCCTCCTCCTTGTTTAATTGGCTGCTGAAAAATAGGTATATTTCTCTTGTTAGAAATGTGAACCCAGATAGAAAATATAAGGTGAGGGCTGCACTGTATCAACTAAGTTTTCTTGCTGTGTATTTTCAAGTTGTTTCTGACTTATGGTGAATTACCATGAGGCTTGCTTAGCAAGATTTATTCAGAGGGGATTTGTCAATGTCTTTCCCGGAGCCCGAGGTGGCGCAGTGGGTTAAATCCCTGTGCCGGCAGGACTGAAGACCGACAGGTCACAGGTTCAAATCCGGGGAGAGGCGGATGAGCTCCCTCTATCAGCTCCAGCTCCTCATGCGGGGACATGAGAGAAGCCTCCCACAAGGATGATAAAAACATCAAAATCATCCGGGCGTCCCCTGGGCAACGTCCTTACAGATGGCCAATTCTCTCAAAACAGGAGCGACTTGCAGTTTCTCAGGTCGCTCCTGACACGACAAAAAAAAAGTCTTTCCCTAAGGCTGACTTGCCCATAGTCTTTTAATCAACTTTTGTCGTCAAGCTGGGATTTGAGCCCTGGTTAACAAGAATCCAAGTCCAACATTTAAATAACTACACAAGATGGGCTCCTCAAGTAGTGTGTATACTCGAGTATAAGCAGAGTTTTTCAGCCCTTTTTTAAGGCTTGTACTCGAGTCAAAGTTATTTATTATTTTGCATTATTATTATTATTATTATATTTATTATTTTACTCTATTATTATTATATTTACATTATTTTACTCTGTTGTTATTTTATTGCATTTATTATTTTACTCTATTATTATTACATTTATTATTTTACTCTATTATTATATTTACATTATTTTACTCCAATATTACTACATTTATTACTTTACTCTATTATTATTATTATTATTATTACATTTATTATTTTAACTTATTTTAATTATTACATTTATTATTTTACTTTATTTATTATTATTATTAAATTTATTTTTTTACTTCACTTGTATACCACTTTCCTCACCCCAGCAGGGAACTAAAAGCGGTTTCCAATATAATTATGGCAAAATTTAATGCCTCACATACAGAAACCTAACAATTATCAATTAAATCATAAAAAACATTTATTATTTTATTTTATTTTTACTGTTATTGTGACATTTATTATTTTACTCTATTCTTACTATTATTATTACATTTCCATTATTTTACTCTATTTATTATTATTTCTATTAAATTTATTGTTTTACCCTATTTATTATTATTGGAAGGATATGTAAGCACATTTACATTGAAGAAGGTTAGAATAATGGTTTAATCAGAGTTGGGCAGTCTTATCTTAAATTACAGTTTTATGTAAATATTCAAAAACATTTACCTACTGATGCCTCAATTAATATAATTTTATTGGTATCTATTTTTATTTTGAAATTTACCAGTAGCTGCTGCATTTCCCACCCTCAGCTTATACTCGAGTCAATACGTTTTCCCAGATTTTTGTGGTAAAATTAGGTGACACGGCTTATATTTGAGTATATACGGTAATCTCTTAGGGATTTATACTAAGAACCATTTAATGAAAAGAGAATTCTGCATAAAGTTTTGTGTCAAATTGGAAAAAATTTTCTGCATCAACTAATGGCAAAGCTAAACACATTTTTCTCCTTTCAAAATAAGTGTTTCCAGTGTCATGCATAAATTAAGAACTATGTTGCTCTTCACTTACCCAGTAACACCTTTCTTATGTATTTATCCACTTGCTAAAAGGCAATTATCTCATGTTGAGTTCTTTCCCATCTTCCCTAAAACTGAAAGTCTGCGATGTGTTTCTTTTCTTTTGCTAGCTAATGATGTGTGGGAGAGGCAGACAAATGTATGATGGGATAGTGTCAAGACAAAGGCAAAGCTATCTAAACATTACAGAGAGAGAGGGATGAAATAGCAATACTGAGGCTCCATTTACAGCAGCAACTCCAAGCAGAATATATTTGGTTCCCTTTCTATTTCGAAACATATAACATTATTTACAGATAATATCAGAAGGTATGTCCCAGTCTAAATATCCTGTCATGAAGGATTAATTCACACCAGGGATGCTGCTATTAGGGTGTTTATATTTATTAATTTATAATTTATTTCGAACATTTTTACCCCGCCCTTCTCAACCCCTGGGGGGACTTAGAGCGGCTTACAATTGGCAATAATTCAATTCCGCATCATAAAACACAGAATAACAAATATAACAATTAAACATGAACATTAATAAATAAAGATTAAAACAGTATACTTGCACTCTGATTAGCTATTGCCCATCTGGTGGCTGTTTAGCTAGCCATCTACTAATGATTACTCCGCTTAACTTATCCAAATCTTCTTCCATGCCATAGTCAAATATTATCAATTGTCCTTTAACCTGTTTGCCCAAAGGCCTGGTCCCACAGCCACGTTTTAACCTTTTTTCTAAAGGTGAGGAGGGATGACGATGACCTAATTTCCCCGGGGAGCAAATTCCACAGGCGGGGGGCCACCACCGAGAAGGCCCTGTCCCTCGTCCCCGCCAAGCGTGTTTGAGACAAAGGCGGGGCTGAGAGCAGGGCCTCCCTAGACGATCTTAAGCTCCGAGGTGGGATGTAGAAGGAGATACGTTCGGACAGGTACGCTGGACCGGAGCCGCATACGGTTTTATAGGTCAAGACTAGCACTTTGAATTGTGCTCGGAATTGGATCGGCAGCCAGTGGAGCTGGCACAGCAGGGGGTTGGTATGCTCCTTGTATGATGCTCCGGTGAGTAATCTAGCTGCCGCTGGTTGGACTAATTGCAATTTCCAAACAGTCTTCAAAGGCAACCCCTTGTAGAGCGGGTTGCAGTAATCTATTCAGGATGTGACAAGAGCGTGGACCACCGTGGCCAGATCCGACTTCCCAAGGTACAGGAAGTACCTTGGGAACATGTTTTCAATATTATATCAACTCCACTGACTGCCGGTCCATTTCTCAGCACAATTCAAAGTGCTGGTCTAGACCTATAAAGTCCTATATGTCTCCAGCCCAGCTTACTTGTCCAAATGTATCTCCCTCTACGTTCCGCCTCATAGTGTAAGATCCACCGGGGAGGCCCTGCTCTCGGTCCCACCAGCCTCACAAACACATCTGGTGGGGACGAGGAACAGGGCCTTCTCGGTGGTGACCCCCCGCTTGTGGAACTCACTCCCCAGCGAGATTAGATTGGCATCCTCCCTCCTTTCCTTTAGGAAAGAACTGAAACCGTGGTTGTGGAACCAGGCCTTTGGCTATTTGGACAATGAACTGGACCATATGATTGTTATAATAAGAGAAACGGCGATATGACTGTATTACTAATGCTATTGTTTTAATCTTTTGCGTATTTATGGTTTTATATTGTTGTTTATTGTGATATTTGCGGCATCGAATTGTTGCCAGTGTTACCCGCTCTGAGTCCGCCCTCGGGGGTTGAAAAGGGCGGGGTAGAAATGTTGTAAATAAATAAATAATCAATAAATAAAATTAGAGTATTGTCCCCTAGTAAAAACTTTACCTCCCCACTGAATTTTCCTCCTTCAGTTCTCAAATTTCTAACATAGCAGCAATTTAAAACTTCACCTAAAAATTCTGAATTAAGAGATACAGGAATCTAAAGAAAAAGGGGAAAGCGAAAATATGATATGAACACAGCAAAATATCATAGTGTTCAATTGGAAAGATTTCCCTTATATTAATCTATGCAATGCTAGAAATTTGGAGATTCAAAGAAACATTCCATTTAGGGGGAATATTTATTTATTTATTTATTTCATAGACTTGTACCTCGCCCTTCTCACCCCCGAGGGGGATTTCATTTTGTCCCTCCTCCCAACTATCCTCCTGGTTCAGCCACTATTCAGAGGGAAACCTAACTCCAGCAAAGGCTGAAAAAGGCCATGTAATCTGTGCACCTCTCCAAATGTTTTATACACTCAGTCTTACAATATTTGGAGGCTTGCATGATTTCCACCCCTGGTGTAGACACGAATGTGTAAGATGGGCCAATGAACTCGCTCAGTAGAGGGCAAAAAAATAAAAGTATATGTGTGTGGGGAGGAATACAACAATCAGATTAATTTATTTCAGCATGTGCTTTCATGGCTATCAGCTCACTTCTTCAGATGCACTGATGGGAGATGTATTTGAAAAAAAAGATTCATATTCATGAAAACTCATACTGAAATATATCAGGAACAGGCCAACATAGCTATGTTTTTGAAAAGTCTGTATAGGAGTGTTGCTTCCTCATTAAGTATATGCTTAACAGTAGGCTTAAGTCAAGTAGCCAATAACAACACCCCTGGAAAACTATATCTGTAGCATTCACAATTTACCTATCAGACATTTGGGTAAAAGAATACAAGATGGAAGTATTTCTGGGAGCTTTACATGTCACTTTTTCCATGTGAATCTATTCTGAAGGTCATCCATGTGCACTATCATTTTGAATTCTATACTATTTTTTTCTTACCGTCCTCCAATGACGTCGAAGAGATGTTGCCACCGGTCATTAATTTTGTTGAGTTTCTCATCAATTTCAGCCACTCTGCTCTTGTTGCTGTCCTTGATCAGCTGGTCCCCCATTTGCTTGAGAGGAACTAGCTTGTTTTCACTGAACATGTTGATTTCTTCCATGCAGTCCTTTAAAAAATGGATTGTACTTATTATTCTTAAGTGAATGGAGAAAACGATTTTTCTACGGGATGGAACATTGGATGCTTGCAATATGCTGGGATCCAACAAGACAATAAACTACATATCTACAGGAGGACTAATTCAATTTTGCCCATCTATGTTGAAAGCGAAGCAAACAGAATATAGTTTATAATGTGTAAACAAACCAGGTTCCTATACTTCCATCTCCAAACTTTAGTCAAATTACACTAATTGTATTTAGCACATTGCTGTAGATCATTCAGAGGCTGATGGTTTAAAGAGGATTGTGAGCTTTCCTGTGGCACAAAGTGATGGGCCTTCAAGTCTGGGAAATGATGGTTCTCTCTATGACAAAACTGCAGTTGGAAAGTGCAGGGACTCAAGTACAAGGAAGGAAGAAGTATCAATAGCAGATAAAGATTCGAGTTAAGAGCTGAGTGATAAGGAGGGTTGCCAGGAGAAAGAACCTGTAGCTACAGAGAACAAAAGTCTTTGTTTACAAATCAGAGCTGAAAATAGATTACGCTGTTCAGAGAGATTACCTGGGAAAATACTGGAGAAAATTCATGGGAAATGGAATTATTTCATGGGTGTCTATTAAACAGAAAGGTCAGTTCAGGCAACGTCGCGTTAGAGTGAGAAGCTAAGCCTGAGTTCTCTGGTTTCTGGTCCAAGTCAAGCCTTGGTTTTGGACTTAATATATCCTGGAAGTTTTATATGTTCCTGTCCATGTACTACTGTTCACGGTTTTACTAGTTATACCTTCTTGCTTGTGGCTTATGCTGTATCTGTGTTTCTGGCTGTTCCTGGACTTCATAAGGCACCTCTGGAACCTTATGAGACATTTGGATTATTGCTTTATTAGCATGTGTTGCTAAACCTTTTTGGGTTATATTTCTTCCTTTCTAATCCCTGCTTTTTACATGCTTTCTATGTGTTTTGACAATAAGCTGTTTGCTTCTATTCCTGGACTGTTGTGTGGTGCGGTGGTCAAAGGTGTTTCTAGGCCTGGAGTGCAACTCACACCTTTCTTCTTCCATCCTGCTTGAAAAATATATTCATTGGAAAAAGACGGATATTTATTTCAATGGATTATGGTGTAACTTTTTGATAAACACCATATGTCTTCAATTATAAGACACCAATAATTGTGAGATGTACCACCAACAAAAATACGTAAGATACACCTGCAATTCTAAGATGCACCCAATTTTTAGAGATGTTTATATGGTGGAAAAGTGTGTATACAGTATCATATTTCCCTCTGAAGTATAAGAAATGGGGATTTCAGCACAAATACTCAATATACTATGAAGAGGATGTTGTGCCTAACATTAATCTGTGTATGGGAAATAGTGGAAATTTATCTACGAGCCAATCCTTAGTCGACCCAGCAAAGGTGCTTCATTGAGCAGCATTTTTAAAAAGTTAATCCTGAAATTTAGTCCCTGCTCCTTGCGACTTATTAGTAATCTATACTTTTCTGGTTCATTTGTCTGCACAAAAATATCAGCTTCAGTCACATATAGCCATATATAGAGATATACAAAAAGACAGATAGAAAAAGGCTCCATAGAGATCTCCTACTTGATCACTTAGGGGACACTTCTCACATCCCACAGAAGACACGGGGTTCTTGCCATTTACACATTTTTTTGGTCCTTGGCTTTTTAAAGAAAAGAAGAGGACCAAAATAAAAATCTTTCAAGGCTTACACTTGTGGCTGCCTGTTGTTGAAGCTTTATTATTGAAAGGTGGCTTGCACATTTGCAAGGCTTTCTATACAGCAAAGGGACAAGAAACCTAGTCTGCAAGAATCGGCTCACCTTCTCCAACTTGTCTATCATGTCTTCAATGCTGATGTCGCCTGACTGAAGCACTTTGCTCTCCATCTGCACCAACCAAGAGCAGAGCTCTTTGTTCTTTTCGTTGAACACAATCCAGGCGTTAAGTCGGTCCTCTATCTCTTGCTTACGCAGAGAAACCTATGGAAAGGGAGACATATGACAGCTGTTTCACTTGCGGCCAAAGCTTTCAAAGATAGGCATGACTAAAAATATGCTACAGTGTTCTTCCAACCATGGATGGTATCAGCAGGTTTTACAACAAAAGGGCGCATTCGCAAACATTTTAAAATTGTTTTAAAAATAAATACCTTTTCAAATTTAAAATCTTCCTTCAACTGATGAACAAGATGATAAGCAAATGCCTTGCATCTATTATTATTATTATTATTATTATTATTATTATTATTATTATTATTATTATGTGATTGGGGACTCTGTATTCATCGTTCAGTAAGGAACAGTGGGGAAAAAGTCTGCTATGTCTCTGTTTTGGAATATGGGTAGTAGTACTAACTATTTCTTTGGTTCAGAGAGACTGCATCCATATCCCATCAAACAGGTCTTTTAAATCACTTAGATTTCACTGTGGTTTTTTTTTCTGTGTCAGGGGTGACTTGTGAAACTGCAAGTCACTTCTAGTGTGAGAGAATTGGCCATCTGCAAGGACGTTACCCAGGGGATGCTTAGATGTTTTACCATCTGTGGGAGGCTTTTCTCATGTCCCCGCACTGGAAGCTGGAGCTGACAAATGGGAGCTCACCTTTTTGACAGATCAGGCACACTGATCACTTCATCCCAATTTTTCCTGCTACATTTGGATTTTGTATTCACAATTAAATTTGCATCTATACAAAAAAATCATCAAGAATTGTTGTTTTTGTTAATTGATGTTATTGCTAGAATTGCTGTTTTCTGTTAATTGATGTTATTTTGTCTTATTGTTGTTATGTGATGCGGGCATCAAATTGTGCCTTGCCGCCCTGAGTCCCCTTCGGGGTGAGAAGAGCGGGGTAGAAGCAACCGAAATAAATAAATAAATAAATATGCATATTTTATGCAAACCTATCCCCCCAACTGTTTTATTTTTGTTGTTGAGATTATTCACTTCCTTGCTGTTGCAGTTACTGAAGCATCTAAGCTGTCACTCATCTGTTCTTTCCTTATTGTTGTTATCGCTATTGATGATGAATACAAATCGTCATGCTTCCCCACCTGCCCTGGTTTACAGATGGCTGTAATTTTTTCCACACTGTGATGGTGATTTTAGCCCCTGCCTGTGCTAAATCCCTGACCTTTGTAGCTCCCTTGAAAGTGTCTGGCCTGTTTGTTTTCCAGCCTCTTCCATGGGAGCATCTGCCTGGTTAATTCTGCCATTCTCCAGGACAGCTGCACCGACGTGCTTTGAAATGCTTGCAGTGGCTGGGACTATTCCATCAATTGTTTCAAGCAATATGTTTCTGTTAGGCTCTCTGGCTTAGGCTTACCTTTGAGAAAGTAAGTGGGGCATTCTGAGGAGATGTTCTTTTGCCCTTACAAATATTTCATCTCTCAGTATTTTCAAGCTTAGTCCAATGAAACATTTGCTTGAAGACTATTTGATTGTCATGATCGCTAAACTATCTCTATCTATCAACCCATCCAGTTAAAGCTTTGGTGTAAAAACATAATATTGTTGGAAATAGCAAACTTCTACAAGCTTCCTATACTAGTTATCTGTTACGTATATAATTCAGATTGCTTACTATATTGTATATTCCACCTTGTCTTCTGTGCTATGTTAATAATATAATATATTGTATATACATATAATGTTTATAATATTATAATGTAATGCAATATAATACTACTAATAATATATTATAATTATATATTTATATTACATGTAATATTACATGTAATATTACAAAATAATTGTATAATACAATATTGTAATAATTAATTCTGATAGTGTACTATGCTAATAATATAATATATTGTATGTGTATATATATCTTGTAAGCCACTCTGAGTTCCCTTCGGGGTGAGAAGGGTGGCATATAAATGTCGTGTGTGTGTGTGCGCACGTGCGTGTGTGTGCGTATTTTGGTATGCAGTTTTTCCTTAACTCTATGTTGCTTGAGGTTGTGGGAGGGACTGCAGATTATGTGATCAGATCTGAGACTATTCAGATTGAGACTCCATTTTAGAAGTAGTAGTTGTATTGTATTGTCAATGTTTAGAGTGTGTTCAGCAACGTATTAGATTGAAGAGAGTACTGTGTTAATCTGTATGCAACAGAGAAGAGACTGCAACAGAATGCCTTAGAGAATTTACTGTTTAAAAATTCAGCTGATAAGCAATGTACCTGTATGCTAAATACATGAAGTTTGTAAGTAAGCCAACTATGCTATTTTAATGAAGACTACTTATTTTTGTCTTTTGAGAGCATGATTTATAAACAATACATTTTAGGGGAGAGCAGATGTTTTTGGGCAACTGAAATAACACTTCTGAAGATCTGCTATATATTTTGTACATTGACATCAATCTAATAACTGAGAAACCTAAATCACTTTGCATGGATGCTAATGGATATATATACCACTAAAGAGACGAAGTTTTTAGCTGGGAAGATCATACTTTACAAAAAGGTTATGATCATTCCAAATTGTGTGAATGCCAGTTAATCTCCACAAAGGTCACACTTCCAAAAGGCTATGGAGATTCTGGTTTTCCAAAAATTATACAGTTATGGAAATCTGTAAAACCATATAATAGAATCCAGAAATATGCAAATAATGCTTCTTGGCCTAATTTTTCAAAGGGCCAAGCTCACCTTTAATACTTAAGGCTTTAATATAACTGTACACTGCATCTGAAGAAGGGGATTTATATCCATGAAAGCTCATGCTAAAATAAAGATCAGAAATAAAGGTGCAGCCACATTCCTTTTATTCTCACCTTCCTTCCTTCATTTTACAAATATCCTTGAGTAGTATTCACCTGATACTTCCCAAATAAGCCTTTTACTCCTTCGCTATCTCCATGCAACAAAACCAAGACTACATTTGATCCTGTTTTTGTGGCTACATTTAACGAATGGTAGCCCCAGATGGACATATCTCCATCTATTTGTTAGGCATCCAGCTGAAGAAGTGTTGTGATGCATAAGTGTTTTGAAGCACATTCCAATAGGCATCTGCCTCCTTTAATGAATAAGGAAAAGTGTATTTAAAGAAGAAGGCCAGAGTGAATCGACCTAATTCAAGGTATAACACACATTGAAAAAAATTCTTTGTACTACACATAGATTTAGGTCAAGCCATTATGAAGTGTTTCCGTACAAGGCTGGATTACAAATTTTGCAACAAGTAGGGGTTGTCCAATTATGAAAATTGGTAATTGGACTCTAAAGGATCAGGGTCAAAGGATTTATTTCTTGTCATTTGATAAGCTTCCTCAGCACTGTGATGGCGAAACTAAAGAATGAAATTCCCCGTTTGAACCTGGTTCTTGCAACAAACTCATTAAATGGCTATAGGAAAGGCCTCACTGTTTCAGTTTGTTCTCCCACTGGATATAATAATATGGACCTGCTTTACAGGATGATATGGTGCATGTAATGTACTTTGAAGGTGTGAAAGAAGCAATATGAAAATATTAAAACATCATCACCTTCACCAAAAGCGTCAACAACAATCACGTGTCTTGAGCCGGTAAATTCCAGTAGAAAGGCATTTGGTATAAATATTTTCACTGCTTCTGTCTCGTATTAATTTAGGTCAGCTCTCCTTATTCAGGTGAAAATATAAAAAGAGTTGTGCTGGATCAGACCAAAGGCCCATCTAGGGATGTATCTACCTCATGCAATTATGGGAACACTGATTACCACTTTAACTACCACAGTTACATCCTGTGGGATTCTGGGATTTGTACTATAATGAGAAATTTGCACTTATTCACTTAGATTTTTTGAAAAGAGATCTTTAGCAGTTTCAAAACTACACATCCCAGGATTCAAAATGACGAGGTGATGGCAATTCAAGTTATATATGGTATGAGTAAATCCAGGCTCAGGATTTTGTTCAAACCATGGCCAACCAGAACTTTCCCATTTGGAAATACTGCCTCTGCTACAGAAGGGATTGGCGTTATGGTGATCTACGATTTTCATCATGTTGAGAACTGACTGAAGTTTGACTGATTTTCATACTGGCTGGAGATGACAGAAGATGCAATCCCAACTCAGTTGTGGACAACTGAATTGTAAGCATTAAAGTCAGCAGAATTGCCACTAGGTCATATTTCCCCTGAACATGAAACAAAGGATGGTCTTAGGAAAGGTAAAGGTTTCCCCTGACGTTAAGTCTAGTAATGTCCAACTCTGGGGAGTGGTGCTCTTCTCAATTTCGAAGATGAAGTGTCCATAGACACCTCTAAGGTCATGTGGTTAGCATGACCGCATGGAGAACCGTTACCTTTCTGCAGAAATGGTACCCACTGATCTACTCACATTTGCATGTTTTCAAACTGCTAGGTTGGCAAAGGCTGGGGCTAACAGCGGGAGCTCACTTCATTGGTGGATTCAAACAGCCAATCTTTCAGTCAGCAAGTTCAGCAGCTCAGTGGTTTAACCCACTGCGCCACTAGGGGGTTCAGGATGGTCTTTACATTAGAAATAATATCTATCTATCTATCTATCTATCTATCTATCTATCTATCTATCTATCTATCTATCTATCTATCTAAATGCATAGCCCTTTTCTACACAGATTTATTTATTATTTATTTATTTCATACACTTGTCCCCTTCTCACCCCCGATGGGGGACTCAGGGCGGCCTCACAGCAAACATCCATTTGGCGCCATCATAATTATAAAAACATTCAACAAATTCATTAAAACAAACATTAAATAAACAGTTGTTAAAAACACGCCAGTTAAAAACCAAAATCCGGATTCGTTCATTGTCACTTCAAATTGCTTATATCTTCTTCTCACTTGCCACTATGCAATGATCAAACGCTTGGTCCCACAGCCAAGTCCTTCTAAAGGACAGGAGGGAGGTGGTCAATCTGCTGCCCCTAGGGAGGGAATTCCACAGATGGGGGCCACTGCTTAGAAGGCCCTGTCCCTCATCCCCACCAATTGTGTTTGCGATGGCAGTGGGAGTGAGAGCATGTGAATTAGATTGAAGTTGAATGGAATTACTTCCAGTTAAAGGTGTGCATGACTCTAGCTATGCACTGCAATTTAATGCATCTTTACTCAGAAGAAAAGGCCTACTATGTACTGTAGGATTTGGATGCATGGATATTCAATATCATTTATTTACATACCACCTCTTCAGTATAATTCCGGGATAGTTCAGTAAAATGAAGTAAGATACAAATAAACACAACAGCACCTTTTCTGAAATAATGAATGCATTTGAAAAATGGAAAATTACTCTGAGTTCCCCCTCGGGGGTTGAGAAGGAAGGGTGGGGCAGAAATATTGCAAATAAATAAATAAATAAATATTTGAAGAAATATAACTGCTTGAGATCAAAAACATCACTTATTGTCGGCACCAGGCAGGAGAGAATTCTCAGGAGAGAATTCCACACACCATTATGAAATTCTGTATTTGGCTACCAAGCAGTTGGTTGGGGAAGCTGGAGAACAGACTCCAAGAATGACTTCAATACACTGGCATCTGCCTAAGAGGGGCACCCCGGCATCCTACAAAACATGGCACCAAGTCAAAAAGAAACATGGGCTTTCAAGAGAACCTTTACAGGACTGGAGGAAAGACTGTTATTGCTCCTGACATGTTTCTGACCCTCTGCCTGAAGTGCATTCACAGGCTAATCTCTCTCCACAATCAAATTCGAAAAGCTTAGCTGCCTTCGCAAATAAGGAGGGGGTGAGGGAAGCCGCCACCTGAGAAGCAATAACTCCTTCCTCTCTTATGACCCCCTCCTCCTCCATCCATTCCAGGCTGTTTCCAGCTGCATGCTTTCACAGTTAATCTTTGAACAAAGACTCCCAGGACTACCCTGATACCTTTGTTCCACTCTGTCTGTGCCAGACTCCCTATACATTCCCTCGCCTAAAAGTTTTTGGAACTTTTGGGGAACTTTGCGCAGACAAAGAAACGTAAATAAAATGGAGACAGGGTCTTTCCCATACTTTCGTAACCATGTCTGCACATGATGCTTTTTAAAAAGCAACACAGCAACCCCTGTTACAAACAGCAATGGGTTAGATCCTACAAAAACAAACTCTCATTCCACAAAAGAGCTTTCTTTCTACAAAGCCGAAGCATCTGCAAGATATCCTTCTCTTTGTTTTGGCTGAAATCTGGCTGTGCAGCTCTATGGTGTGCGCCTTCCCTGTACGCCACTTACTCTGAGACAGAGTTCTTCCCACTGTCTGTGCAAATGCTGGACTTGCTCTTTCAGCACCATCACATCTTCCGCAAGGAGGTAGTGAGCCAGATCCGCCTTCCTGGTGCCAAGCTCTTTTGCCCTTTGGTTCCAGTTGGCAAGGGACTGCTCCAGGTCCTGCATTGAAATACACCAAGAGGGTAGAAAACAACAGCAAGTTCCTGGGAGGGATGTGAGTGTGTGGGTCTCTCTCTCCATGTGTGTATGCTTCTCTCCCCCCTCAAATCTTTGGGTTAATCCTTTGAGGAGGAGGGGAAAGAGGGGCGGGGAGGAGGGAAATCTGCATATAGAAGTGGGCAGGAGAGCCGGCTTAGTGTTTATGCTGGGATCCGGCCTCTTAACACAGCAGAAAGCATCTCACTTTTCCATAGATTCTCAATTCTTCAACAGTGTGCATGTACCTGCCCTTTGAATGTTTTATTCCCATCTAAGGAAGTGGATCATAAGAAATCACATGCTAAAATAAATCCATCAATCCCAAAGGTGCCAGAAGATCCCCCTCAAACCCTTTGTTTTTCTACTTTTCCATTTGTTAGTCTATGAAATGAATAAGGAGGAGGAGGAAATGCAACTGTTCGTTGAGTTTTAGCATCAGGAAAAGTTTAACTTGTGGCAGAAAACCTTTCATTAAGTTGCAAAAAGAAATCTTAGGGTCTTTAAAAGAAAGATAGATGGAAAGGAAAGTTTTGTAATTTAATCTGTTAGATTTTTTTGCATGGAATTTCAAAAAAATAACTACAGTAGAGTCTTGCTTATCTGCTCATCCAGCGTTCTGCATTATCCAACACAGTCTGCCTCCCTCCCGTTTCAATACATTGCAACATTTTGGTGTTAAATTAGTAAATACAGTATTTACTACATAACGTTACTGTGTATTGAACTGCTTTTTCTGTCTATTTGTTGTAAAACAGGATGTTTTGGTACTTAAATTGTAAAATCATAATGTAACTTGATGTTTAATAGTCTTTTCCTTACTCTCTCCTCATTATCCAACATTTTCATTTATCCAACATTCTGCCAGCCTGTTTATGTTGGATAAGTGAGACTCTACTGTATTATGTTAGAAGGAAGAATGTAAAAACAGTTCACTATCTCTTTCGTGTCAGGAGCGACTTAAGAAACTGCAAGTTGCTTCTGGTTTGAGATAATTGACCGTCTGAAAGGTCATTGTATAAGGGACACCCGGATGTTTGTTGTTTTGCCATCCTTATGCAAGGCTTGTCCCCGCATGAGAAGCTGGGGCTGACAGAAGGAGCTCAACCTGCTCTCCCTGGATTTGAACTGTCGATTCGCAGTCCTGCTGGCAAAAAGGGTTGAACTCATTGCGCCTTTCCCCTCCTCATCAAAGGATTAACCTAAAGATTTCAGGGGGGAGAGACACACACACAGACACTTTTGGGAGGTTTAAATCCTCCCAAAAGATTTAAACCTTTTGGGAGCATTATAACTATTTTAGAAGATTCAGAGGTGCGTGACCCATGCAAAAATGACCGGAGGAAGGCAAACAACATTCAGGGGATGGAAGGCAGTTTCCCCACACCTGTTTCAGTCACAAGCACCAAAGCATAATTTGACAATGGATCAACTTGCGGTATGAGGCTAACTGTTCTGTTTTTGCAGTTTGCATGACTGAACATATATAGTAGGGAAATTGATGTTTGTTCAGACATTAATCCAACTACAGACAATCATAGAATTATGGAATCATAGCATCAGAGTTGAAAGAGACCTTGTGGGCCACCCAGTCCAACCCCCTGCCAAGAAGCAGGAAAATGGCATGTAAAACACCCCCGACAGATGGCCATCCAGCCTCTGTTTAAAAGCCTCCAAAGAAGGATGTTTTTAACTTGGGGACTGTCTGTACATTGTCTTCCTCTTTTAAAGAAGTTTATATATTATTTATATCCTGCCTTTTGGAGATCACAAAGTAGTGTATAATAAAATCAACATTAATGAATTAAAAGAAAGTAACATAAAAAACACCAAGAAGAGAAACACTGTGTCAAAATGGACATGTCAAAACCAATTTGGAACAATGTATATAAATATTTTGTAGTGACACATTTATGCCTCAAAGGCTTTTAGATACATGTTTGTGTCTATGTGCCTTCAAGACGCTTGTCAAATTATGGAAATACCATTTATTTCATATGGTTTTTTGAAACAAGGCGTACTCAGAGGTGATTGGGCCAGCAGAGGAATTATATCTTGTTTACAACTGCGAAGGACAGACCTCAAGATGGTTTGTATCATATTGCCAAAAGTGATGGTTGTTGTGTGCCTTCGAGTCATTACCAACTTATGGTGACCCTTAGGCGAACCTATCAAGGGGTTTTCTTGGCAGGATTTGTACAAAGTGGTTTTGCCTTGGCCCTCCTCTGAAGTTGAGAGGGTATGATATGGTCACGGTGATCCCATGGGTTTTCAAGGCTGGATGGGGGATTCAAACCTGGTCTAGCGCTCAAACCACTATATTACTTTGGCTCTCATCAATTCTCTATTGTTTTAACTGCAGTAAAAATGAAATGACTGTAATGATTTTTTTGTGTTAGGGAAAACCACACAAAATGCAACAGAGCATCCAAAATATGCAAAACACAGGATACTTATGGTTTAGCATTCAGTTCACAGCAAGCAGAGTGTGAAGTTGCATGTGGCTGTAAAGAATTTAGAGCTTAGGAGGCAAACATGCAGAGCTCAATCTTTTTTTAAAAAATCACATAAAAAATAATTACATTTCCTCATAGTAAAGAACCGGGTCCTAGCTACTCTATGGATCCCCCGGTGGTGTAGTGGGTAAACCCCTGTGCCGGCAGGACTGAAGACCGACAGGTCGCAGATTCAAATCCAGGGAGAGCGTGGATGAGCTCCCTCTATCAGCTCCAGCTCCTCATGTGGGGTCATGAGAGAAGCCTTCCACAAGGATGATAAAACATCAAAACATCTGGGTGTCCCCTGGGCAACGCCCTTGCAGATGGCCAATTCTCTCACACCAGAAGCGACTTGCAGTTTCTCAAGTCACTCCTGACACGACAAAAAAAAAGCTACTCTATAACTCCATCTCTTCTAGGGTTTCAAAGAGAGGGGGGGAAACTCCAAGACACTACATCTCTCTGACACACACAAGCAGAGAGAGATCTCAGAGCACACAGCACATTCACTACATTCTCAGTACCTTGATATGTTCTTTGGTTGCCTGCAGTTCATCATGTTCTTCTGGAAGAGGGTTTTTTACTTCTGCCTTGAGCTTTTGTAGATTGTGACTTAACTCTTCCACTTGTTTTTCACAATTCTCCCAAGTCTGTAATTCCAAAAATAAGGTGAAAATGAATTAATGAATAGAATTAGTGGTTTAAAGGAAAGGAATGGACAAAGATGCTATCATCTAAAAATGGGGATCATGACCACAAGGGCCATCCAGTCCAACTCTCTAAATTGCAGAAATATACAATTAAAGCACTGTTATCTTCTTGAGGAGCCCTGGTGGCACAGCAGGTTAAACCGCTGAGTTGCTGAACTTGCTGACTGAAAGGTCAAGAGTTTGAATCCAGGGAGCAGGTGAGCTCCCAACTGTTAGGCCCAGCTTCTGCCAACCTAGCAGTTCAAAAACATGGAAATGTGAGTAGATCAATAGCTACCGCCTTGGCGAGAAGATAACAGTGCTCCATGCAGTCAAGAAGCAGAAGTAGATCAGTTCTATGAGGATCTGCAGGAACTACTGGATAATACACCAAAAAGAGACATTATTTTCATTACAGGAGACTGGAATGCCAAGGTGGGAAGTCAAATGACAACTGGGATCACAGGCAAGCATGGTCTGGGAGAACAAAATGAAGCGGAACGCAGGCTGATAGAATTTTGCCAGGAAAACTCGCTGTGTATAACGAATACTCTCTTCCAACAACCTAAAAGACGGCTTTACACATGGACCTCACCAGACGGTCAACACCGAAATCAGATTGACTACATCCTTTGCAGCCAAAGGTGGCGGACATCCATCCAGTCGGTGAAAACAAGACCTGGGGCTGACTGTAGCTCAGATCACGAACTTCTTATTGCCAACTTAGAATAAAACTAAAGAGATCAGGGAAAATACACAGACCAGTTAGATATGATCTCACTAACATTCCTAGCGAATATACAGTGGAAGTGAAGAACAGATTTGAAGGACTAGATTTAGTAAACAGAGTCCCAGAAGAACTATGGACAGAAGTCCGAGACATTGTTCAGTAGGCGGCAACAAAGTACGTCCCAAAGAAAAAGAAAACCAAGAAGGCAAAATGGTTGTCTGCTGAGACACTGGAAGTAGCCCAAGAAAGGAGGAAAGCAAAAGGAAACAGGGATAAGGGGAGATATGCCCAGTTAAATGCGCAATTCCAGAGGTTAGCCAGAAGAGATAAGGAACTATTTTTAAATAAGCAATGCATGGAAGTGGAAGAAGACAACAGAATAGGAAGGACAAGAGATCTCTTCCAGAAAATTAGAAACATTGGAGGTAAATTTCAGGCAAAAATGGGTGTGATAAAAAACAAAGATGGCAAGGATCTAACAGAAGCTGAAGAGATCAAGAGAAGGTGGTGAGACTATAGAGAAGATCTGTATAGGAAGGATAATAATATTGAGGATAGTTTTGATGGTGACATTCAACCTCACTCCTGAGGAGTGAGGTTGAATGGGCCTTAAGAAGCATTGCTAACAACAAGGCAGCAGGAGATGACGGGATCCCAGCTGAACTGTTTAAAATCTTAAAAGATGATGCTGTCAAGGTGATGCATGCCATTTGCCAGCAAATATGGAAAACACAAGAATGGCCATCAGACTGGAAAAAATCAACTTATATCCCCATACCAAAAAAGGGAAATGCAAAAGACTGCTCCAACTTCCGTACAGTGGCCCTTATTTCTCATGCCAATAAGGTAATGCTCAAGATCCTGCAAGGAAGACTCCAGCAATACATGGAGCGAGAGTTGCCAGATGTTCAAGCTGGGTTTAGAAAAGGCAGAGGAACGAGAGACCAGATTGCCAATATCCGCTGGATAATGGAGAAAGGCAGGGAGTTTCAGAAAAACATCTACTTCTGCTTCATTGACTATTCTAAAGCCTTTGACTGTGTGGATCATAATAAATTGTGGCAAGTTCTTAGTGGGATGGGCATCCCAAGCCACCTTGTCTCTCTCCTGAGGAATCTGTACAAGGACCAAGTAGCAACAGTCAGAACTGACCACGGAACAACAGACTGGTTCAAGATTGGGAAAGGCGTACAGCAAGGCTGCATCCTCTCACCCAACCTTTTTAACTTGTATGCAGAACACATCATGCGATGTGCGGGGCTGGATGAATGCAAAGCTGGGGTGAAAATTGCTGGAAGAAACATTAACAACCTCAGATATGCAGATGACACCACTCTGATGGCCGAAAGCGAGGAGGAGCTGAGGAGCCTTCTAATCAAGGTGAAAGAAGAAAGCGCAAAAGCTGGGTTGCAGCTAAACAAAAAAACCCCAAGATTATGGCAACAAGAATGATTGACAACTGGGAAATAGAGGGAGAAAACGTGGAGGCCGTGACAGACTTTGTATTTCTAGGTGCAAAGATTACTGCAGATGCAGACTGTAGCCAGGAAATCAGAAGACGCTTACTTCTTGGGAGGAGAGCAATGTCCAGTCTCGACGAAATAGTCAAGAGTAGAGACATCAGACTGGCAACAAAGATCCGCCTAGTCAAAGCCATGGTATTCCCTGTAGTAACCTACGGATGTGAGAGCTGGACCTTAGGGAAGGCTGAGCGAAGGAAGATCGATCCTTTTGAGCTGTGGTGTTGGAGGAAAGTTCTGAGAGTGCCTTGGACTGCGAGAAGATCCAACCAGTCCATCCTCCAGGAAAGAAAGCCCGGCTGCTCACTGGAGGGAAAGATACTAGAGACAAAGTTGAACATGAGGAGACAGGAAAGCCTAGAGAAGACAATTATGCTGGGGAAAGTGGAAGGCAAAAGGAAGAGGGGCCGACCAAAGGCAAGATGGATGGATGGCATCCTTGAAGTGACTTGACTGACCTTGAAGGAGCTGGGGGTGGTGACGGCCGACAGGGAGCTCTGGCGTGGGCTGGTCCATGAGGTCACGAAGAGTCGGAGACGACTGAACGAATGAACAACAACATGCAGTCATGCTGGCCACATGGCCTTGGAGGTGTCTATGGACAACACCGGCTCTTCAGCTTAGAAATGAGGATGAGCACTATCCTCCAGAGGCAGACACGACTAAACTTACCTTTACTTTTATCTTCTTAAACTCTAGGATGGCAATAGACTCAAACTAACTACAGCAGACAACTACAGTCCCAACTACAGCAGACAAATTGAGTCAATGGGATTCATACAAGTATTGGTTTATCAGTGGGCAGTAGATTTTACAGGCCTACTCCAGTTTGAATAAGCAGTTGGGTTTAGTGTAGTTGGCACTAGCAGTGGGAATGATGAAGGCTTCCAGCTGTTGATCACTTGCAACTCCCAGGATCCCATGCCCAAAATAAGTTAAAGAATGGTAGGAGTTGCAGTTTAACATCTGGAGAGCTGCATGAATTAAGCCCACATTGCTCACTTTACAGAGAAATTGTTTCTTTTTGAAGAGCTGCTAATTTTAGGTATATTCTCATAGGGTTTACATACACATAAGAAAAGGAACAATGCAAAACAGAACAGGAGCCTTAAAGTTGTCTGTCACAATTTAGCACCTCAGTAGCAGAATCAATGTGAAAACACATAAAGTCATTACAGTTCCATTTAAATTACCTATAAATTACATCTGGGGAAGTTGATTTAGTCTGTACAAGTTTATGCTACCAACTCTGTTCTCCCAGTTAATCTCTAACATCGGAGAACAAGATCCCTTTGCATATTTAAATTACAGCCAATTATTTCTGAAATCTGCATTTGAATCTTTACATATGAAGAGTGTGAATAGGTTTCCACAAAGATTCCTTGTCAATGCAAAGCCATTCAGATTTTCAAACTGGTTTTCTCTAAAATGCCAAATACTCCAAATACATTCCAGATCCCTGTCTCCAAGGGATCTAGACACCTGAAGCACCTGAAAGTGCCAAACTCTATATTTTTGGACCACAGTTGACTGCTGAAACTTCAGCCCTCTAAGTTTAAGTAGTCAATTATTGTTGGAAAATACAGGATTCTGTATAGACTTAATGCAGGCTTGGAAACAATGATTTGTCTGGCCAGGATCCCCATGTACTACCAACTTTCTTCTTGTTGCATTCTCAGATTCTTAAGTCAGGAAGTCAATGTCCAATTTAAGCACTTCATAGAGTCATGCTTGAGGGTCAAGAGATGCCCACAAACATGTCTGGGAGTGGTCAACACAAGTAAGAGATACCATGGCACATGAATTCCACAGATAAGGGGGTCTTATTGTACCTACTGGATCCCCGGTGGTGCAATGGGTTAAACCCTTGTGCCAGCAGGACTACTGATTGAAAGGTTGGCAGTTCGAATCCGGGGAGTGGGGTGAGCTCCTGTCTGTCAGCCCCAGCTTCCCATGTGAGGACATGAGAGAAGACTCCCACAGCATCCTGTGGGTGTCCCCTGGGGACCAACATCTTTCCAGATGGCCAATTCTCTCACACCAGAAGTGACTTGCAGTTTCTCAAGTCGCTCCTCACATGAAAAAAAATTGTTCCTATTATATGGTTATGGGGATTCTAAACTCTCACTAGGCACTACTACCAATAGAAATGACTGGGCTATGTATATACCTCTATAGTGCTTTGGAGCTGCTTTGTCATCTTCTCCACTTGAAGTTGGGTATTGCCCCAGTTCTCCTGCAAGTGGCTCATCTCACGTTGAACGGCAGCTTTTGCTTCAGGGGCTGCTACCCCAAGTAAATTTCCACCCGTGTCCAAGGCCAATGAGTACCTGCTTTGCCATCTCCGAAGAAGGATTTGTGTGTTCTAAAAAGAAGCCAACCAAACATGTGTGAACCTGAATCACCCAACATTTACATATAGCTATGAAACAATAAGGAAATGACTGAATATTATTAGCATGAAAAGGATACTCTTCAGAACAGTCCTTTCAAGAATTTCCATATTATTCCAGGCCTGCTATAGTAGGTCAGAGACTTACTGAAAGATGGGGTGGCATGTGGCTAGTCCAAGTTAAGCTCTTACAATAAGTGCAGAACCAGGATTTGAAACCATGTCTCTCAAGGTCTAATTTCAACATTATTTACATGATACCACACAAGTTCATTTGGACATATTGCTAATTTCTTGTTCAGTGGTGTAGCTAATTGTGAGAAAAAGAGCTCTAACCTTGAAATCATGGCTCAGATTCCTGACTTGGTCTAAGCTGTACTTGTCCTGGCTCTTTGTAGCAGCTATCAAGCCATTTGTATCTGTGAGGAATCTTGCGAGGTCCTGAGACAAGGTTGTGAATTTCTGCCACTGCTTTACAAGGGCGTCAATCTGGCTCTTTCTCTTCTGAGCCATGTGGACCACACTTTGCCATTGTTCCTTCAACACGGTGAGTTTGGAGATAAACTCGGTCCTGAAACAGTGGGAGAAAGAGGCATGACAAACAGTAGCTAGGGCTAGTTCCACTGCAGAGTGTCATGAAAAAAGAGCAAATTAAACCATTAATTAGGTGATAATTAATTATGTTAGACCTTTGTGCTGGCAGGACTGCTGACCAAAAGGTCGGCAGTTTGAATCCGGGGAGTGGGGTGAGCTCCTGTCTGTCAGCTCCAGCTTCCCATGTGGGGACATGAGAGAAGCCTCCCACAAGATGGTAAAATATCCAGGCATCCCCTGGGCAACGCAATAACAATACACAGCAATTAAAAAAAATTAACCTGAGTAAACACTCTTTCAGGAATCTCTATAACAACAACAATAACAACAACTTTATTTCTATCCATCCCCATCTCCTGAAAGGGTTTCAGGGCGGTTTGCAACAAAAATTGGCAAACGTTCAATGCCAAGAAAAACATAACAAAACACATCAAATCAGTCAAATAAACAACATCAAGGTATACTTATAAAACAACCCAAGAATAATAATAATAAATGAGATATTTAAATATATCAATAGAACAATTGGAATACATTTCATCTAATAACTCTACTACTAATAATAATAAGCAATTAAAACATTTAATACATATTAATATAATTTGTAGAAGGGCTGAAGTAAGTCTCCATTAGTTGAGTCAAAGCTTAATAACGTGCTAATCCCCTTCCTCCCCATACTCTTTATATAGGTGAATTTTAATAGTTTCTTGAAGGAGAGGAGGGAAGGGGCAGTTTTCAATTCTTTCAGGAGTTTCAGAGGTGGGGGGAGATCACGGAGAAGGTCCCCTCTCTCTTTCCCACCAGCCATGCTTGAAATGGGTGTGGGATTGAGAAAAGGGCCTCCTCCGTGGATCACAGTGTACATATTGGTTTATACACAGAGAGATGGTTTTTCCAGATCTTCCAGCACAACTAACTCTAACTCTCTAATCAGCTTCCAACAGAAGTTGATTAGAGAGTTGTTTTGGAGGACCGAGAGATTTATAGAGAAAACATATGAATCAAATCTGTGGATAATCAAAGCTGCTAAAGTTAAAACCACAAATGTGGAGGGACAACTATGTATACATGTATAAATGTTTATACATACACATACATTTAATGGCTTTGTCTGACAGTATATACATATACTTCTAAAGGGAAAGTCATACCAACTGTATTGAATTATACAGATTTTGGAAAGAACTGGACAATCAGCTTGTCCAGCCCTCGTCAACTAGGGTTGCTCCAGATGAGTTAGACTACACCTCCTGACAACCCCAGCTAATAAAACCATGATGGCTGTGACGGATGGGATTTGTTCTCCAGCATATTAGGTGGATGCTAGGTTGGGGAAGGATAACCTAATCTAATGAAGGCAACAAAATCCAGAACTCAGAATGCAAGAGCAGTGAAACCTAATGAACATAAACACACAAGGATAGGCTCCTCCATACCAAACAACTTTTATAGTGCCAACCTCCTCAGAGGTAAGCCCCATAAAGTTCAAAGTGTCTTATACAAAGGTAAGAATGTCCAGAATTACCGTATGAATATATTAGATTTTCTTACCCAGAAAAATGCATGTTACTAATAGGAAACATCAAGTATTTTTCATGACACAAAAATGTCCTTCATGGTAGTTTTCACTAAGTCACTGCTCAGATATAGGATTTGGAAAAGCTACTTCTTTGGATGATACTCATGCTGTCTAGAGACAGTCTTAGCATGTCATCCAAAAAGTAACTTTTTGATGCTCATCTTGGGAATAAGATAAGTGTGATTCTGCTTCTACTCGGCCTCCAGATTAACTGGTCCAGGCACTGTCATTTATATCATTTCTCCTTTATTATAATTATGGATTTGGGACTCTCTCCACTTTCCACCTAGACAGTAAACACCAATCAAATAAAAATGTTACCGGTTTTCTGCTTCTCCTGATTCAAGCATTTGAAGAGCTTTGGACATAATACAGTTAAAAATCTGCTGATGAACAGAAATCTCTGCTTGCAGTATCTGTAAACATCAGAGAAAATGTATTATTATTATTATTATTATTATTATTATTATTACATACCCTTCATTAAAAGGGTTAAAGCAGGTTATGAACAGGGCACTTTAAATGACCCAAGTTGGTAAAGAATCTTTAGAAAACACAGCCTATTTGGGTTACTTAGGTAAGTCTAAATCAAACTGCAAATCCCAACTAAAGGAGTCACATTGAATCAATGGGATCCTGATAAACCAACACTTAAGTAAATCCCTCCATTTCAATGGCTCTCTTCTAAATGCAAGGAACAGGATCACAGCATTCTTTGGATCAGGCCTCAAATATTCAGGAACATTACCTCATATTCTCTCTGCTGCTCCTTCAGCCCCTCGTGTGTGCCTGCCACGTTCTCTTTCAAACCCTCCTTCATTCTCTCCAGGAAATGCACCCAGTTTTGACATTGTTGGAGAAACCCTTTGTCATCTGCCTGAATGGTTTGCAGTTCACTGCAATAAAATTGAGAACAAAAATAAATAAATAAATAAATAAATAAAAGAAATCAAACACAGCTGCCCTCTTTCAAATTACAGTTTTAATCCTTATCACCATCACCGTCATCATAGGAACAGATCAAAAGAATTGTCATGAATGGGTTGTCGTAGGTTTTTCGGGCTATATGGCCATGTTCTAGAAGCATTCTCTCCTGACATTTTGCCTGCATCTATGGCAAGCATCCTCAAAGGTTGTGAGGTCTGTTGGAAACTAGGAAGCTTGGATTTATATATCTGTGGAAAGACCAGGGTGGGCGAAAGACCCTCCAAGAAAATCCAACAAATGCTTCGTTCAGTCAAGGACAAGAGGGATCCTCTCGCTTCTGCAGGAGTCTACTGTATACCATGCAGCTGTGGACAAGTCTACATAGGGACCACTAAACGCAGCAGCATTGCACAAACACGAATCAAGGAACATGAAAGGCACTGCAGACTAATTCAACCAGAGAAATCAGCCATAGCAGAGCAC